TAGATATGCTTACTCAGCTTCATCGCTGAGCGTGTAGTACGTTTTATTTGCTACACGCAGGTAGAGTGAATGAATGATTGGCTTGTTCCTGGCAGCAGAAGGGGCGAGATTGTCGTGGTGGAATTTGTGATTTTAAAATAAATAATTGTGTTGTTATTAAACATGGTTTAAATTGCTTCCGCATTATTGTTAAACACTCTGCATTTTGCTACAATTATGTATTAAATAATATTTATGATGAATAAAAGTATTTGAAATGTTTTAAATTTTATGATTACCAAGTTAATACTTTAGTCTGAAAGGGGCTGCAGACCTGGACGGATTAGGGTGTTACAGTTGCACACCTTGTCTAACAATTGGTATCAGAGCTGGTATCTCTAACGCTTCTTGTGACGTTTGAGAAAACGATCAAAATTTTTTTGAGAATGTTGAACGCAGGGATTAGAGAAGGGCAATCCACCGAAAGACCACCGTTGTTCAATGGAACAAATTATTCAATCCGTTGATTACAAATCATGGATGATGATCAACAATGGACTTTGTCTTCCAACAAAGAAGGTTGGCAAGAAAAGAATCCTCAAACCCGAAGAGGAGTACACGGATGATGAGCTCAAAAAGGTAGAACAAAACGCTAAAGCTCTACACCTTCTATATTGTGCCATGACGTGGAAGTATTCCAAACCTTCTCGGGATATGTATCGGCAAAGAAGTTTTGGGACGAGCTTCAAGAGAAATATGAAGCTCTTGAAGAAGCAATAGAAGAACCCTAAACTTGCTTCATGGCAAATGAAGAAAAAGAGGTAAATACATCTGACTCTCCTTCTTTTGAAGAATTTCAAGAAGCTTTTAAAGAATTATTTGGCGAATTCAAGATAGCTTCAAAATTTGCCAAAGAGGCTAAGGCTAAAATTCAAGCTTTAGAAGATGAAAATAAATTTTGAAAAATGACAATCATGACCTTAAAAATGAAATTAAGGCAATAAATGAAGCTTCATCTTTTATTGATCATAGTTCTACTTGTGCTTCTTGTGATTCTCTAAGAGTAGAAAATGTTGAACTTAAGAGCACCTTAGAAAATCTTAAGGTAGAAGAGCCTAAGAAAATAGCTCAAAATGATAAGATAAATACACCACCTAGAAGAAATAATTCTAGGAATCTTAAAAATGTTAGGAATAATTTTAGACAACCTAGAAATGACTCTAGGAAATTTAAAAATGATAAGATAATTTTTAGGCAACCTAGAAATGATTCTAGGAAATTTATAAATGGTAGGAATGTTTTTAGAAAACCTAGAAATGAGTCTAGAAATTTTAATTCTAGGGACAATGATTTTAGATCACCTAGATATTACTTGGCTCAACCTAGGCATATGCACAACCCGAACGTAATATGTCACTATTGCAATCGGGTAGGTCACATAGCACCCGTATGTTTTACTAAACATAGGGATTTATTTTGTGATTATGATTATTATGTTTCTAACCATCAAGGACCCAAAAGTGGTTGGGTACCAAAATATTGTTTTTAGATATCCATGGAAGGTGTGCTTGAAGACTACAAATTTGTAGTGGATGCTCCAAGCACTTAGCGAAAAAGGTTGCATCAAAGGGGAGTCATTACATTTTTTAATGAATTTACATGAATTCTTTTTGGGAATATACATAGGATATTTTATGGGAATTATTGCTCTGTGTTAATCTTTTTATATGCCTTATTTTTAAGGGGTAGATAGCATATTTAAAGGGGGAAGTATTTTTTTCTAGAAATGCATGATTTAAGGGGGAATGTGATTTTTCTTATTTGTTTAGAATTTTTTTTCTCTCCCCGGAATGCATGAGTTCTTTTGTTGCATTATTTTTTATAATGCCAAAAGGGGGAAGAGTATAGGAGTATATGCTTTAATTTGTTATTTGTTGGTAGCATATCCTCCATGTGTTTGTCATTATAAAAAAGGGGGGAATTGTTGGAATGCATGAGTTCAACCCTTTCATTGTTGTTTAGTGTTGACTCACAGATTTTGATAATTGACAAACACAATTTATTCAAGTCAAGATTAAAGTGCTACAACGACAACGACAGCTGTAGATTCGTCACGATCCAACCAATTGAACGCAAACGTTTAGAAACTATCTTGTTAATCGTTTCAAATCCATTGATTGTATCGACTATTGTAATCCTTTGCAATTCCTGTCTTAAACTCAACTACTGAATAAAAGAATCCTAATAAAGGAATTTCTGTTATTGTAGAATGAGTCAAGAATCTGCCCATGGACAAGGCAACAACAATGAACACGTCAGTGTTCATACTGAAGCATCTAGTTTCACCCCTCCCATCCAAAATGAACTTGTCAATCAACAAAATGTTGGGAATAACCCGAACGCTGGTGGTCAACCCGACCTTGTGATCCCAACTTTTCTGGCCAATGTGTTACAACAAATAGCCAACGCGCCGATGTTTCAACCACCTCCACCACCGCCACCTNCAATCGATGGCATCCGTTGATAGATCCAGGAAGCGAAAGTATCCTGCTTGCGAACACTGTGGAAGGAACCACCCTGGAGAGTGTTGGTTGAAACAAGGGTTGTGCCTTGGCTGTGGAAAACCAGGACATTTCAAAAAGGAGTGCCCTACAAACCCTGGAGAACCATTTCCATCTGCTCCTGTTGCTAGCCAGTCTGCATCAGCACAACCCGCACCAAGTCAACGCTCAACAGCGGGGTCTAAGCCAGCCAAGAATCAGAACCAACAACAAGGACGAGCTCCTGCTCGTACATATGCAATGAAGGCACGAACTGAGGAAAACCCTGACGTCATTCAGGGTATGTTTTCGTTATTTGATACTGTCATGCATGTGTTGATAGACCCTGGATCAACGTTGTCGTATATCTGTGCACATATGCCTGAAAAAGCTGACATAATGAAAGAACAATTGGAACAACCTATACTAGTGTCTAACCCGTTAGGACATAGTATGAGGTTAGATCATGTGTATCAAGACTGTCCATTGATTGTTGAAGGACATCAATTCTCTGCCAATCTTGTCGAATTACCGTACAAAGAATTTGACATCATCCTCGGAATGGATTGGCTCACCGAACACCAAGCAATTATCGATTGCCGACGACGAGCAATTCAACTAAAGTCTAGAGAGGGAAAGTCTATAGAGGTGAAGGAGAATCTGACACCTAGATCCACTGAATTCATCTCGTACATACACGCTAGGCGCCTCATTCGGAAGAAATGTGAAGCTTATCTGTGTAACGTACGTGACACACGAAAAGAAACTTCTGAATTGAAAGACATACCAACAGTATGTGGTTTTCCTGACATATTTCCTGACGAACTTCCTGGTATACCATCTTCTAGAGAAGTAGAATTTTCCATCGATCTTGTTCCTGGAACAGGACCGATATCTGCAACCCCCTATCGCATGGCTCCTGCTGAAATGAAAGAGTTGAAGGCTCTACTACAAGAACTGCTCGATAAAGGATTCATACGTCCGAGTGTTTCCCCTTGGGGAGCACCCGTTCTGTTTGTCAAAAAGAAAGACGGCTCGATGAGACTCTGCATCGATTACCGTCAATTAAACAAGGTCACAACCAAAAATCGATATCCTTTACCTCGTATCGATGACTTATTTGATCAGCTTAGAGGATCTACTGTATTCTCTAAGATTGACTTACGGTCAGGATACCATCAAATCCCAATAAAGAAAGAGGACATCCCGAAGACGGCGTTTCGTACTCGTTATGGTCATTACGAGTTTACGGTAATGCCCTTTGGTTTGACCAATGCTCCTGCAGTATTCATGGATCTCATGAATAGTGTATTCTGACCCTATCTTGATCAATTCGTGGTTGTATTCATCGATGATATTCTTGTCTATTCGAAGAATCGAGAAGATCATGCAAAACATTTGGAGATAGTACTCAATGTACTACGAGAACATAAACTGTATGCCAAACTGTCAAAATGTGAATTCTGGCTTGATGAAGTTACGTTTTTAGGGCATGTGATTTCTAAAGAAGGTGTTAAAGTGGACCCTAGTAAAATATCTGCCATCACCGAGTGGAAGGTTCCAAGGAATGTTCGTGAAGTGAGAAGCTTTCTAGGATTAGCTGGATACTATCGACGATTTGTTGAAGTCTTTTCCTTGATCGCAACTCCACTTAACAAACTTCTCAGAAAGAATGTGAAATTCGTATGGACCGATGCATGTCAGCAAAGCTTTGAGAAACTAAAGAAATGTTTGACAGAAGCACCTGTACTGACACAACCGGTACCAGGTGTAGACTACACAATCTTTAGTGACGCATCTCATAATGGCTTGGGATGTGTACTTATGCAAGACGGAAAGGTCGTGGCATACGCATCAAGGCAGTT